ATTTCCCTAGGGATTTTTGAGTGCTGCTGTGTTGACTGAAATTCAGTGCAACTGGAAGATTTCTAACTAAATGTTAATAGCATGGATATAGGTGATTCTCTTACAGTGACTGGTGTGAAGGCAGACTTTCTCAGCTGATGTAAATCTCTTTAAAATTGATAGGGATCACCCAGAAGCGTCAGTCTCTTTGGGTGGACTGGAGCCTGGTGTACTGTTTTCCTGTTGTGTGTTTTATTTCACTAGGAATAATTGAAGCTGGCTGAAAAAAAAAGATATCCCTACTCAGTATGGTAGTCATTATTTGAGGCAATTACGGGTTTGATCACTGGTGGTATCCTGTATCCTAGAAGCATGTAAGAACAACAGAAGATAAGTATGTTGCCTCCTGCACCCTGATTATGGAAATCTTAGTGTGCCAGTGAATTAACTAGCAGAAGTCTCAATTTCTTTAAGAGAGTTTTATCTCATTAACAAAAATTAATCTCCTAGGAAAAGCCATATTAATTTCAGATGCTAACACCTGCTTACATAAATCTGCTTGCCAGCTCTGACCTTATCCTCAGGAGTCAGAAAATACCACATATGAGAAGATAGGTTGGTGGTTGCTTTTAAATCTGCACTAGTATCACTGTTGCCCATCTCTTGGTCAAGAGTAATCCTGATGTATTTTGGAGAGGAAAATACATTTTGCCTAAGAACTGAGTGTTTTGAATTAGTTTCTTTTGAATTGCTAAAGATGTCATCACCTACTTTGAACAAAATAACCATTTTGATGTTTATGCTTCTTTTTACTTGAAATGGAAGTTTTTATCATCAACAGCATACTATTGTTGCTTGGTAAACAAAGCAAAGCTTTATACAGAACTGATATTTGCAGACAAAAAACCCAAACAAACAAACAAACCCAAACATAAAACCCAAGTACCTAAAGAAGAAAGAAAAAATAACTAGTTGATGAAATCAAAATTGTGTGTTTCCAGAAGAAGGCTTCTCGGATGTTAGATTTGAAAAATGAGGAATTACCTGTTTTGAAGTAGGGGAGATATCAAAATGAAAAGAACATCTCTGCAAACAAAAAGTACAGATAACAACAGTAATTTATGTACTTTCCTCTCTCTTCTGAAATATTTTTACACCTGAGAAGTTTATTGCACAATATACTTCCCACATCTGCAGGAAGGTGATAGTGTGCTACTGTCACGGTCCCAGGGTCTGCGTGCTGACAGGTTTTGGCACTGAAGCCCTGTGTGGGTGGAAATGGAAGGACTTAAGGTTGCTTAAAGCATCAACATCAACGATATTAGGAAAAGTGATTTTAATATGAATTCATAAAAGGTGTGACTTAACAGAGTTAGATGTCAAGGTTCACTCTATGATATACTTCATTGAAAAAACATGCAAAAGAAGTCATGTGTGAACTGAGAATGATTTACACATGGATTAAGTGTTTTGTATGACTTTGGGGTAGCAGCAATTTAAGGTTCATTAACACTATTATAATAAATTATAAGGTTGGATTATATAATTTTCTAATAAACTTAATCAGTAATCATCAGTTGACTATTGAAAAAAGGTTTGAATTATACACACACACACAGATGTAGATATATATAGAGACAGACATGTGGATATGTACAGAATATACATCAAGGTATACCTGGTAAAAATTCCCCTCAAGTTCAGTGAAGTATTCACTTCAAATGTCTCAGCATTTCTCAGTGGGTAAGGGTTGAGCCTCAAGGAGCGGAGAGTTGCAGCCCAGGTGCCATCATTGATCTTTGGCAATGGTCCTCCGAGTTGTGCTAACTTAACAGTTGGCGAGCTCCAAGAGGCGTCCCACTCAGAAGGCAATGCTGGATGCAGCCCACTGCAGTCCAGAAGAGCTCAAAAGGGTCTCCCTTGGCACTGTTGTTTATAAGATTGTAAGATGATTGACTTTAGGAATCAGTAAATTTCCCTCCTGACCACCCTCTGGGTGGGTAGTTACTGGAGTTTTCAAATTTCCCATACTGAGCTACTTGAGTTGCAGTTAGATATGTTTAGGTTCCGGGCTATGAGGTAATGATTAATTATTCCTGTTCTCATTTCCCACGTTGGGCAGGCAACTGGTACTCCTGGTACAGTTAGTGCCATCCCCGCCTTAGTTATGCAAGAGTTTTGATACACTCAAGGGATGCTTAACCACCAAACTTGTTGCACAAGGCTTAACAGGAATTTCTAAGACTGTAGAGTGGTCCAGGAGAAGGGGTGGGGGGAATTGCACCACCACAAAGCCGTAGGAGTAGGAGACTGTCTATTACAGGGACATGTGCAGGAATATAATTAAAACTGGTTTGCTCTGTATAAATTAAAGAACAATTTGTTGTCTTCTACTTTCACTGTTTATTTACTTTAATTAGTCACAGGTAGTAAAAAAAAAAAAAAGCAACATTCTACGTTTGTATTGGAATGGAATGGGCAATTAGTGCTTTTATGTTTAGGAAGTTTGAAAATAAGACTAAATCAGGTGAAACTGTATCAGTGAGTAAATCTTGGTGAGACATTACCATTGAAAAGTGGAGGCTATTGAAGTTAAAATTTTGCTAGACATTCAAAAATAGGCAAAACCAAAATTAAAATCCCACTCATCTCACACTAGGAACATGGATTTTGGGGGAGAGGGAGAGACAGTCATGTCCAGTAATCAGTAGCAAGTACCATATGTCCACATGTACTGTCGTCAGCTTTTGGTTTTAACTCTGTTACTGGTGGTGTGGGTGTAGGTTCTGTTGTACAATCATCAGTTTCCAGTTTTCTTTCATCCTTTGAAGATTTTTCCAAAACTCTCAATACTGATAGTTTAAGGAACTGGGTTTCTGTGTGTGCTGTATAGCTTTGAGTTTCATTGTGGTTACTTCAAAGGTCTTTGTGACTGAAACTTTTTGCTCTTATATCTGAGCTAATTTTTGCTTGTGATGGTTTTGTTTTGTTTTTCTTTCCTTAGATACTAAGTTTCATAATCGGGTGATCTATACATTTGTATTTGTTTTTGTAACTGGATTGTCATTCTTAAGTACACGACAAATGAGGGAGGTTTTTTTGGGGTTTTTTTTAGGCTGAACAAGACAATGGCCATCCTCTTCCTGCTTTTGCCAATCTGCATATTGAAGTCCTTGATGAGAACAATCAGAAGCCTTACTTCACAGGATCTGCATATGAGGGCTTCATCCTGGAATCCTCCCCAGTGGGAACGACCATCTCTGACAACCAGAATCTAACTTCTCCGCTACAAATCGTTGTATTGGACAATGATGTGGAGGAGGTATGCTTCTTGTTCTTTTATAATGCCACACTGGTGTTTACGTTTTTATTATTTTCAGAGTTCTTTCTTTTTTCATATTTTTTTATCAAGACAAAAATGGTTTGATCAATAAATAAAAAAATCTTAATATGGTCTTTTTTTTGTTTTCATTCTGAGTTCAAATAGATTTGAAAGTGTGTCTGAACTGAAAAACTGGTCTTTATTTTATTCAGCTCTCCTTAAGCTTGTGTTCTGTTAGAGAGGATGAATGCTTAGTGTGCAGAGGAAAAAAATGCATTTTGTGAGAAGGATGAATCTGCCACACAGTGTGAGGAAATGGGAGAGGGAAGCTCAAAGTGGAAGGAAGTAGTAGTTTGAACAAACCAGGAAGAAAATGAATAGGAGGGCAGGAAGCTAAAAGTTAATTCCTTTCTTTGCTGTGCCTGGATTTTGATACTAACATTACTCATAGTAAAAATTGGGTATCTTCAAAAGAATAGTTACTAAGTAGTAACAGTACCACACCTCTAGGGCCAGCGTTTCTTCTGTTCTCACCAAGGCTGTTGCTGTTAACATGGCTTTTGATAACATTTTTTTGTCCTCTAATTATAGTTGTCTCTCTAGTTGTCTCCTTTGTTCTTTTTTGTTTCTCTTCTTCTGTTCTCTTGTTCTCTTCAAATATGTAAGGAAAGACAAGTTGTAAACATAGGTTTTGTAGGGATATTTTTAGTATACGCCAATACTCTTGAATAAAGTTCTTAACCTGATAGTCTGAAAACAACCTTATGTTTTTGAAAGTTTTGAGAAACATAAGAAGCCATTGTCACTGAAAGATGCTTTGTACAGCATTGTCTCCGTTAGAGCAATTTATTGTCCTAAGAAGCTATTTTAAAGCCCAAAATCATGTAGAGTATCTCCTTCCTATCCATTAAAATATCTCCTGCAATTTACGGGCATTCATAAAAATCAGTTGGAAGGCAAGTGGAAATGGCTGTTGGATCCGGCTTTCTTAGGGGCTGGATAAAAGGTGTGGAGTAAGTGCATGTGGCAGTCATCAGCAGGCATTGCTGATGGTTTGTGTTCCTTGAGATACTCTTGTTCAGCATTGCTTTTGTTAAAAGCAAAGCACTTTGCTCGCTTGATCACATTTAATGGGATCTTGTAGGGTGTTTAACAGAGGAAAAAGAAAGGTGTGCAGGCATCAGACGTGTTTGTTTTTACAACACATTTTCTGATTGTGTTGTATAAAATCTGTGTGTAATGTGTGCCAGAAATCAAATCGTATGAGTTAGTGTCTGCAATTCTAAGTCATTTTTAAGCTACTAATTTGAGATATTTTCTTGGAAGGCTACTTTTAGTTCTGTGATCCATATGTGTAGTAAATAAACAACAAAAAAAGGGGATATCATAGAATCATAGAATGGTTTGGGTTGGAAGGGACCTTAAAGATCATCTAGTTCCAACCCCCCTGCCATGAGCAGAGACACCTTCCACTAGACCAGGTTGCTCAAAGCCTCATCCAGCCTGGCCTTAAACACTTCCAGGGAGGGGGCATCCACAGCTTCTCTGGGCAACTTGTTCCAGTGTCTGACCACCCTCACAGTGAAGAATTTCTTCCTAATACCTCATATAAACCTGCCCTCTTTCAGCTTAAACCCATTTCCCCTTGTTTTGTCATTAACTGCCCTTATGAAAAGTCCTTCCCCAGCTTTCTTGTAGGCCCCTTCAGGTACTGGAAGGCTGCTAGAAGATATTTTTAGTTGTTTTTTGCCTAAGCAAATTGCTGTCTGATTTGTTTTAGCCACACCTTCATGGAAGTACTAGTAAAACCCTTTGGTTCAAATATGCCTTGCTGCATATCTGTTTGTTACAGAAATCTGGAATTTTAGGGCACTGTCTATGCCCACCTTATAACACGTGTGACTGCAGGTTAACTTTTCAAAAATGGAAAGAGATGCTATTAATCAATTGCCTGAAGAGTGGAAGACTGAAACCGAGCACATCTGTCTTCGAGTCCAATGGTCTTGTGCGTTAGATAGGTATGGTCTGAATCTCAGAACAGGGTTTTCAGCAAGCTGGAGAGCTTGTTGTGAACTGTTTCTGTCTGGGTTGCTGCACTGCCAGTTTGGGCAATGGGCAGCTGAAAATAGTACAAAAATCTCACTTAATCCAAGTTGTGCTACTGGTGTTTCTCTGCCTGCAAGTGCATTGGTGTTCTAAAGACTGAGATATTTGCTTTCAAGGCTTTGTAGCAATGACTTAGGAAAACCCTTCTGTGCATACAAAGCCCGGAGTGGTAAAAGGAGTCATGCAGCATGGCTGGTGAGGGAGAGGCTGAGTCAGTTGTACTTGAAATAATTCAACGCAACTGTTTTAATTAAAGACAGTTCAGTGTCCTAGTTTAGACATTTAAAATTTTGTGGCAGTTTTCCATGCGGATGTTTTTTTGGGACTGTCTCCTATTGCCTAGTGGATGATATTCTTACACTAAAGGAGTAACAGAAGACTCTGGACTTCATTAACCTCCAGAGATTTTTCAGGTTGTAGTTAATAGCGCTCTGATGAACCTCTCCCTGGCAGTTGCACAACTCTGCCTGCAAGATGTCAAAGGCAGATTTGGTAATAGAAGGTTCTTTGATGTAACTACATATTAGATTATATACGAGACTGAAAATTAAAATGACTTTAAGCTGTTAAATCCTAAATTTGGTCTGGCTGTTTGGATAAATCATGTAACTACCAGGTATTTAGTATAGCACATTATACTCGTATACTCTCAAACTGGAAATATTTAATTGCAAAAACTTCTGCATGGAAGAATAGTTTGTTCCTTTAATATAAACTACTTCATGAGGTCAGTAATGTAAACCTAATATTTATGTTCCCCACCAAAAGTGCTTTCTGTTACTGATTTTGTCTGTACATGTTCAGTACCTCAAGTTTGAGGGATGCTCTGAAATTCATCAAAAACAGTTTGACTGTAGGGCTCCCCATTTTATTGTTGTGCCTTCTCTGTAGTATGTCAGTATGTTCCCATGAAGTTATCTCAATATTTGGATGTTGAATGGATGGTCCATTAATATATTTGTGTTTGCCTGTACTAGAAATTTCAACATAGGTGTGACCCAAATATTTGTAGTTTTAATTGCATCACTAATAATAATTTTAAAAATCTGTCCAGTCTGCAGCAGATATTTCAATTGGGAGCACTAACATAGCTTAAATAATCTGTATCCAAAAATGATGAAAAACAAGTTTATTGTTTTTGAACGCAGTATCATTCTTGAACATAAGCTGCTTTATTTAGGCCACTGATTAGAAGTTGTTAAATATTTCTGTGTGTCAGTACAAATAGACCTGGAATTTCATATCCACAGGAAATGACCATTCAAGGGCCCAAAAGTATTTCCTGGTGAACTTAACACTTGGTTGTTTCACATCATGTTTTTATTTCCACTGGATAATGAGTAACAGGAGTTTGGTTAAGTTAATGAAAATCTAGTTCAGTCACATGACACAAAATGAGACAGAGCCAAAAGTTTTCCAGTGAATTATTTTTGTTTACTATTGAAAAAGTGTAGTATTTCAGTGTTGCATGATGAGTAACTGCCAAGGATTTCTAGACTGGGAAATGGTGTGGCATGAAGACTTAATTTTGACACCCCACCCCATCCTCTCAAAGTCAGGACAAAAGGGATGGGAGGGAGAAGAGAGTCTGATTTAACTGCCTGTGCATTAATACACGTGCCAGTGGTTCTTGTAGCTCTCATAACCTGTTGCGCACATGAGACTTCCAGCAGCGCAAGGCTGGCAGTGCAGCAGTTGCCTAGAACTCAGACCTAAAACAGCCGAATGAATGAAAAGGGCAGGTACCTTCTCGCTGGGACTAGATGGTAGCTCTGGGTGGGTTAGTAAGCACACATACTGCTCCTTAACTTCTGCAGGTTGTAATGTTCTGATTGGCTTCATTTTATCTTAGTAAATTAATGTATTTAGTAAGTAGGGATTGCTGATGAGAAGTTAACACAGATCCTCTACCTGCTTGTGCATGTAAGTTTCCAATACTGACACTGACTAAACATAATATATTCAGTCTTCTAATTGACGAATCAGTTGGCATTATACTTCATATTAAAGTAAGTCCCTGTCCTTGGACAAATGCATGAAGAAGGTGGCCATCTTAACTGTGTATCTTAAAAAAACAACATGCATGCTAAATTTAAACCTTGTGGGAATTATAATAGTGTCTTGCTATAAACCTTCCAAAAATTAATTTATAGATGTGACATTGCAAACAGACCTTTAGCTAGAGCGGCACTGCCAAGTGCTGATATAATTAAGTGGTCTGTTTAAATGGCATAAATTAAATTAAGCCACATGAGTGGCTTAAGACCTGAGTAAACCAAAGCTGAGATGAGGAATTTAAACAGTATGATCTGATTGCTGTTTACATAAGGCTTCTCAAGCCACTTGCTTCCTTACTCTTTTGCTTCCATGGGAGAGTACTTAATTTCTTCTACTCTGGTGGTTAGGGTTGGTGAAAAAGCTACACACTAACTGCCTTACTGCCTTGTATGTCAGATCTTGTTGAATCTCTCTTAAAAAAAGAGAGAGAGGTAAACTCCAGGATTTAACTTCCCGGGTGAAAGAAGCTAATCAGCATTCAGATCCATTATATGCAGCTCAACTACCAAGATGTTTACCGATAGCACGTGCAGTGTCCTGATGAATAAACTCGAGGGGTAAGGTGGTTTGTGCAGTGCTCGTTAGAACACAGAATTGATGTCGTGTTTCTAAGATGTGCCAGCATGTGCTCAAAAGCCTTTAACGTGTCCCAGCAGACATTCAGAAAAGGGCCCATGGCAGTTACCCTGATGCTTCTGTGGGTGCCCACAGCCCAGTGCTGCGTCTCTGGGCAGTGCAATATGACCAGTTATTAACATCAGTTCCTCTCCAGGTGCTTTTATACCAGACCAGTTTCTTGGTGTATGCATGTCTATGAAGTTGAAGTCAAACTAAGT